AAAAAAAAAAAAAAAAAAAAATCATCAAAATAATATAAAAAAAACGATATGTTATGGAGAAAAATAAATTAAACAAGATTTGTCTGAGCATTACATCCTAATTACTTACCAAATTTGAAATAAAAATAAAATATGGAAAATAAATACTAATAATAAAAATAAAAAGAGAATTAAATTTAGTGAGTGCGCGAGCATGTTTTCGACACCGCCATCTTTGGCGATTTTTCACTTTTTTCGGGCATAGCTAAATGCGCTGAAAATTTAAAGATGTGTACTCCACATAATACAAAACCTACAAAAAAAAATTTCAAAAAATAGTAAAATTGTTTAGATTCCGAACTAAAGTGAAAACAAAAAGTAAAAAGTGAAAAAATATGTGGGCAAACACGTTTTGACACCGCCATCTTTGGCGATTTTTAATTCTTATTTGGCTTAGCCAAATGACTTGAAGATTTACAGGCATGTACCTCACGTCATAGAGAACTCAAAAAAAACAATTCAGAAAAAAATAATTACTTTTAGGCCCAAAAATAATTTTTGACGGGGGCCGAACACCGTCAGGTTCGGACCCCATACGGGACCCCGAACGCCCGGACGTACGGAGGTCTGCCCGAGGACCTCTGTACGTACGGGCTGGTGACCCTTAATATATATATATATATATATTCTCAATTAAATATTAACCTCTTCTTTATGTATAAAATTATAAATTTGTCAGCATTTATAAAAAAAAGTTACAAATCATATTTGTACTATTTCAAATTTCTTGTATATATGGAAAAAAAATGCAGAATAACTCAATTCATAATGTCGCTAACCGGTAGAGGTTTATTAATATCTAACAATAATGATAGTTAAGAGAAAAAAATATGAATATATTACATATCCATATAACATAACGTTCAACAACGGGTGTTTCATTTGTAAAAATACTATTGCAATGAGTCGATTAATCCAGTATCATGATCCGCATTTCTATTGTTGTAAAAGTGTTTCGTTCCTTATGACCTACATAAGTGGACCGATGTATTTACAATGAATACCTTGCTTCTAATGTTAAGGTATAAAATAAGTTTGTTTATAAGTTGTTGTAAAATGAAGATGAAACTGAATTATTGTTACTACTTTCGTCGTACCACCACGTGAAAAAAAATAAAAAAATACCCTCAAAGCGTTCACATGGGTATCGAGTTTACGTAATAAGATTACAAATATATTTTTTTTTTACTTTGAAATATATATATATACAGGGTAACCGGCGTTCGGGACGGGCCGAACTCCGGAACGTATGGGACCCCTTCGGGATGCGTTCGGTCGTTCAGGCCGAACGCGGAACAAAAAAAAAAAAAAAAAAAAAACAAATCATCAAAAAAATCTGAAAAAAAACTATCTTATGGAGAAAAATAAATTAAACAAGATTTGCCTGAGCATTGCGTCCGAATTCCTTACCAAATTTTAAATAAAAATAAAATACACAGAATAAATACTAATAATAAAAATAAATAAAAATAAAAAGATAATTAAATTTAGTGAGTGCACGAGCATGTTTTCGACACTGCCATCTTTGGCGATTTTTCTTTTTTTTTTAGCATAGCTAAATGCCCTTCAAATTCCCAGATGTGTACTTCACATAATACAAAACCCACTAAAAAAGTTAAAAAATAAAATAAAATTTTTTAGACCCCGAACTAAAGTGAAAACAAAAAGTAAAAAGTGAAAAATAACGTGGGCGAGCACGTTTTGACACCGCCATCTTTGGCGATTTTTAATTCATTTTTGGCTAAGCCAAATGACTTGAAAACTTATAGTCATGTACCTCACTTCATAGAGAACCCATAAGCAAAAATTCAGAAAATAAAAATTATTTTTAGGCCCGAAATCATTTTTGGCGAGGGCCGAACGCCATCGGGTTCTGACCCCTTACGGGACCCCGAACGCCCGAACGTACGGAGGTCCGCCCGGGGGCCTCCGTACGTACGGGCTGGTAACCCTGTGTATATATATATATATATATATATACATATATATATATATATATTTATTCGTAAATCAAATATCGAACTACAATATGTATCTATAGATATTGTACTGCGTTTTAGGTTGAGAATCCAAATTCAAAGTCCGATTTGCATTAGACTTTGTAAGTGAATATGACCACCAAGATAAATAGGTTCAGTGTTCAAAGCAGAAGAGCTAAAATTTTAGACAACAATGACTTATAACGGGGAACAATCATACTCTAAAATAGAAGCAAAAAAATTAAAAATAAAATTAAGCTCATCTATCATATCATAATACCAATTAGCAAGCAACTTTCTATAGATTATGTCGTCAGCCCATTATGGTTGTTATTGGTATTGCCCGTAATTCATTTTGATGTTGGCCATGACGACTTACATTTTAAACGACGAATCCAGAGACCTTCAGATGTCGTGGTGTCATCGCGAACGCCCCCACTGTCACCAAAAGTTGCTCCCACTACTCCCGGTTACATCTCTAGGACAACGTAGAGCTCTCTCAGTCGCAGGGTCACGCCACGAGGTCATTAAATGGCAAGAAAGGAGCCCCCCTGCCAACTAAATGCATGAGGGGAGGACAACTTCTCTGATGCTAAGATACTATTAGGTATTTAAGTTGGTATGAAGGTCGGATACAAGGCTGCCAAGATGTCTTCACGTAAGAGTGCAGGGCACCATTGCCATAACTCTCACACAACTATGGTGCTTGGCAGGGTAGGCGCCTCGTAAGAAAAAAAACGTCGACATACTCAAATGCTGCGACCTACATAACCACCACCGATGACCGGGCACCGCTACCTATCGCCGCTTCGTTACTAGCTCATTCGCGCGCACCCCCCCCCAATCTAATCTGACCTGTTGGACTACAGTAAGTCTTATGGATTCCACCAATCCTATCGAGTGCCTACCATTGTTTCGATACAGTTTATAACTATTGTTTATCTTTTTTTCCCCACCTAGGAACCTAACGTTTTTTTGTTCGAATTAAAGTAAAATAATAAAAACTTATCAAGTAATCCATAATTATAACATTGAAATATGCCGATTTGCTTTTCACCCTACATCGAAATTATTTCGGGGAAATATGACATTCAATATAAACCTAATTGAATGATTTCAAAGTTTTATAAAATTTAATTTCAATGATTTTTTGTTATTGAAAATTTAAAATACCCTCCCTTTAAATAAATATTAGATATTATAAAAATTTGGGAGTAGGAAAAATTACGAATATTATGAATGCCCTCATCATGTCCGATTCAGTATAAACATTGAAGATTTTTAAAAACTTACAAATTGTGAACGCCTCTTTTATGCGTGCGGATAATGGTAGTTTATCAAATTTTCAAAACTTTAAAATTGCAAAAATGCTAAAAATTATAATATGTTCCCCTAATTTCGGTTTTATTTTTTTCAGAGAAATAATGTTCTATAATTTCGTTACTTTTACCGATATATAATACTCATAACTTATATGTCATACATGATGTAAATGTTAAAATTTATAAAAACTTTGAAGTGAAAAAAATATTGAAACTTTTGAAATCCGTCTTTGCTTTTTTCTCTGTTTTATTACATTAAGGGAGAAAAATGTTCAAAACTGCAACACCAACATAAATACTAAACATTAGTTGACATGTTAATCTTTTCTTATAAGGAAAAGTTTGTTAAACGATTAAGGGAAACCGATGAGTATTGTACATATACTGATGATAGGCTATAACCCTTAGGTCATATTAACAACATAATTGGAATATCATTGGATAAGAGTAATTAAACAATTAAGGTAAGGGGGCATATATTATGTACCCCTACCTTAGTTATTTTGCATATTGCGTTTCAGTTGAATTCCAATTATATCGTTAGTACGAGTTAAAAAATTTAGTTTATCAATAGGTGTATGAGCTCTACATTGTATCAACAATACAACCGAAGTAACCGCTATACACATTTTTTGAAGTATTATCATATATCAGACCTTGGCTGGGAGGGGGCATCAGACTTCACCTTCCATATCTGGACTGTTTGCGTACATTGAGGAACTAAGGTTGGTTTATGAGGCATCAAGGGTCTACCCGTGAGACGTGTAAAAAAAAACCACGTTGCGCAACGCGGTAAAAGGGTGATGGTTCTGAGGAGTAGTGTGTGGGTGTGCTGGGAGAATTAACCAGAGGAAGGGGAAGTGGGCTTCTCACAAGGGGTCCGAAAGGTAATAAGAAGGAAATAGCCAAGCATGATTGGCACTGATGCCCCAGCATAATGTAAAAAACCCGGGTATAATGTCAAAAACATTGGGGAAAAACTGCGAAGAGGTGCTTGTTGAGGGGCATACTACTAATTTTTCCAGGAAAAAAACGACGACGAGAAATCCGCACACACGGTACAGGATGCACCAGGCAAACCCTTTTGGGACGTTGGACCTATCGGACTACCTGATTCGGTGCTACCGACCGTCCGATAGTGACGACACTGACGCCAACAACATCCGAAAACCGAAGCGGTGGACATTTTGGTCCAAGATCCTTTTGGCTGCTCCCGACGAGGTTCGGAAAACCGGCCTCGAGAACCGGCTCAGGCCTGGGTTCAAGGCTCGAAAATTGAGCGGCGGTTTAAATAATCTCCGTCTTCCATCAGGTCTGAGGGGCGGGGATAGGGAAGGTGCGGATGCATGGGCGGGGGGGAGTGGGGGTGCAGGGAGGTGTTGCGTCCCTAAATCGAAACTGAAGCCTCTACCCTGTTGTCGTGGTGTGCATGTCTGTTCGGCGTACGCACATAGAACTCAGCCGAATGACAGTCCCACTTCGTTGTATTGTTCACGCCATCTCTGTTCTGTCGTCGTTTGCTCTCCTCCATTTCCCGGCGGCATCCTAGGCACGTTCCTATGTGTGTAAACTATGGCCTTCGTTAGACATTAGCTGATTTTGTTTCCACTCTTTTTTTCCTCTTGTCATGTCCCCTCCTGCCACTTCTTCCGCATTTGACTTGGGATCACTCTCTGTTCTACGGGTCTTGTGTATCGCCAGCTTACTTTGATCCTGTCCTGATTGCCCCTCTGATAACCACTCGCAGTTCCAGCGTCTGATCTCCCGTCATGTGATATCAAACAGTTATCTTGAGTCCAGACGTCGTTGCATGCCCCCCTGCAATTGAAGCTATCTTTTTCGGAATTCTGGTAGTGCATCCGTGACATCCTGGGAAGAATAACCTGTTGGCCCTCCTGCTCTGTGTTGTGCAAGTTATTTCTTCCCTTGTCACTTTTGTTCGTCGTTCCTGATTTTCCCGCCATTTTCGCCAATTGGTTCGTTCTTTACTCTTTACCGGATTACTTTCCTGTCGTGCAGGTTCTCGGAGCGCAGAACGCTCCATGATGGCTACCTCTGTGAAATCAATGCATATGGTGGCGGCAGCGTCCTCCTCTGGCACCTTGCCGCAGCCGCCGCAGGCATACGTGGTGAGTGTTCCCTGTTGTGGTCAGTGAACTGCCAGCTTCCACTCGACCGTTTGCTCACATCACGCCAATGCCTCTTTCTGCTTGTTAATCGTCTTTTCCTTTTTTTGCACCATCGGTGCGCATTCGGCATGTCGTTGCTTCGTCTGCCGTGCACTATGGATGTCCATCTCTGCTGTTCGACCCGTGTCCAGGGTTTTGTCGTTACCATAAAATGCGAGGGGAGGGGACACTAAAGTTTGTGGTGGTGGACTTGTGGACTTGGTTTGATCGACTTTGATGGCTGGCTCATCCCAGCTAATAAGCTGAGCTGGAAGGTTGCGGGATGTTCGGATGGAAAGAAGTAACTGTCGACTGCCAGTGGTGCGATTGTACATTGGGCGGTGGATCAGACTAAACCCAGTGTGAATTGTTCGTTTTCTCGACTCACTTTTGCAGGTGGGCAACTCCTTCGTGAGTCAGTACTACAATGTCCTCCACCACTCTCCACAGGTGGTTCATCGATTCTACACCGACGCGAGCACGTTCACTAGGGCGGACGCCGGGACGGATGGCGCGGTTAGCACGATGGTCGGGCAGAGGGTGAGTGTTTTCTGCTCATCGACGCGGTGGAAGTTTCTCTAGGCGAACGGGTTCTGACCCGAGTCAGCTGCTCGTGGACTTAACACATTTCATCGTCGCCCGATCTGATTATGATCGTGTCTCGTGCAATTACTGGTGTATGTTTGCCTGGGGAAGGTTTTGGCGTCGGTAGGTGGATTGTATGGATGAAGGAATCGGCGGAAGGAGGCAGCGTGGCGGAGATTTCATGGCGGAGGGCAATCAGCGTATCAGACTCGGAGGGGGGGATTTGGTTGCTGCGTTGAAGTCGGGGTTAAGTGTGTTCATATCCTTCAGGATGATCATTACAACAATCTTTGTTTCAGTCAGTTCTGAAGAAGAAACAAGAGACGGGGTTGGTTGTAATGCTGATGCAGGGAAGGGTGTGTTAGCTGTCACAGGTTCAGCTCTGTAGTTGAGGGAAGGAAGAATATTCATGCTTGTTGTCAAGGGAGGCGCCGGATGGGGTCGATTCTCAAGGTGGGGAGATCGCTCTATTATGTTTGCATATTATGGCACGTGGTGACGTGTTGTTTTCTGACAGATGGTTCGGTTTTGCTTTTTCTGTGCTATATGTTGATTCTGACAGGCCATCCACGACAAGGTGATGGAGCAGAGGGTGAGTTTCGCTCTTGGCCTCCTGCGCGCGCCTTCCTTGCCCTCGTCCCCTCTTCCGTCGCCTTTTCCTTAGGGCTCCTGTTCGCCATGCGCTCACGGGTCTTTACTTACAGGGGTCAGTCAACGGGCCCTGAACTCGACGCTATCCCTCTTTTCACTGGGGGTGTCTCATCTTGGTCTCGACGAGAGTGATTAAGTTGTTCGATAGAGAGCCTTATTGTCACAATCGGGTATGGAGAGATTTCTTGTCCCAGCCAGGGTATTCTTTCTTGGGTAGAATTTGGTCTCTGGCCAGTGTTCAGCATAAGCGGTCCCATTGATCGCAGACGATTGGTGTGAGTGAGCTGTAATACCATTATTACTAGCGGACCAGAAAATAGATGTGTAAATCTGTTGCGCTCCTCGTTCCTCTGGTGTTTGTTTCTATTTGCTAGGCGATTCTTGAAAAGGCGATGGAACGTGATGGTTTGGATTGGAAGGCGGAGATCAAGACCGTGGATTCGCAGTACTCACTGAACGGTGGCGTATTGGTAATGGTGACGGGAGCCTTGGCGGACAAAGGCCATTCGACGAGGAATTTTGTGCAGAGCTTCTTTCTCGCTCCCCAAGAGACTGGTTATTACGTGCTGAATGACATTTTTCGCTACTTGGACAAGGAGGAACAGCCGACGCCTCCGGTCTCGTTACATTATGCAAACGGCATCCCTGAGACCACGCCGCCTCCTGCTGCTGCTGCTGCTGCTGCTGCCCCCGATGTGAAGCTCAAGCCAGGTATTCACCCAACGAACATCTATATTGGCTATATACTCTAATTCTGAGGTCTGGGATTTTGCCGGCAGTTCTGATTCTTCTCCTTTCCCGTGCCGCTCCGTCGTTGTGTTGTCAGACACATGGTGAAGTGTGTCAATTGGCTATTGACGCAGAATGAGGTTTAGGGCGCCACTTACTGGAGGTGAATGATGGATAGGGTAAACGAGAACCTGTCTTTCGTTTGGACCAGACGTGCACCAGTGGACAGGACGAAAAAAATCAGTCGAGGTCTGATCTTGCGACTTCACAGTCCAGGCATCAGCTCCGTGGTTTCCTACCCTAATTATTGTCTAACTAATTCTGCAGACCTGTCGCCATTTCCAGTTGTCTACCGTCCCGTCTCTAGTGGAAGGGTACTGTGTTTAGGTCTCCGTATGCTTTCACTAGTTTACTCGGCAACACCCCTGTTTCTCAAAACAATGATTCGAGCTCGATACGCGATCCTCTGCATCTCATGGAAACGCTCCAGATCGGGCGATGGTTATGTGGTTTTCAAATTGGTTGCGCGCTATGAGCCCCACCGCAGGGATGCAAGCAGCGAACGAAGCTACGCCTGTCTGATCGTCGACGTAATTGGAAGATGGCTGTGGGTGTATCCAATGGTCGCTGTCTGGTGATGGCGAAATTCGCGCGTTCTAATGGTCCTTAATCGAACAGGACTCATGACGTCTTTGACTCGCTGAATACTGGCTTGTGGCATGTAGTCGTTGGCTAGATACTGGCTTGTAGTGCTTGTTTTCACATGTGGTATGTACAAAATGGTTAGCGAAATGCGAAGCTTGGTGTATAACCTGGCTGGCATATTTCTATTATTTGAGAGTCTTTCGTGCAGGGTGACCCAGTTGCAGACCTCTTGCGTATTACAAACCGTGCCGTATATGTGTGAACCCCAGTAGTTGATACGTTTCCTGTCAGCAGTGTGTTACCCAGGTGCCATATCTGTTGTACCGTGTGTACGTGTTTCTTGTGGCTGTGTCGCGCCTGATGTGCCTTTCGGTCCCGGATCAGAATTTGTCTGTGGCAGGTGCTGTTACAGGTTATCGTCTCATGGTTTCTGTGGTTGGGGGTAGATTATGGAAGGGGGGTCCTCTCGAAATAGTTTCTGGTCCGGGGGACGGGCTCTCGAAACGACGATGGTGTTGAAATGAAAAGGGCAAGGTGATTTGCTTGGAGATTTTTAGGGCAAGTCGATTGTAATGGCTCTCTGTGACACGTGCTGTTGAAGAGTACTGTACTATGGTTTCTGTGGTTGGGTTGATTGATTGTTGACTTGGGGCTCTAGAACTGATGATGGTGTGGAAGTGAGAGGGTCAAGTTAGCTTGCTTCGGGATTATTTCTAGGGCAAGTCGATTGGAATGGTGCTCTCCCCGGCGTTCGCGTGCGAATCTTTTTGCGACTTCTTGCTGACGAAGCGATTGTTAAACGCTGTTGATTGAAGTGTAATGTGATGACGTCGGTGGGGGTTCTGGCTGTCTATTGTAATTGTCGCCGTAAGCGTGTGTGTCGTTCTTTTGCGATTTGTTTGTTGATCGAGTATATGGAGCAGCTTTTGCAGAATTAAGGCTTGGGCGCAATTTGTTGCCGATGTTTTTGTTGGTGGGATGCTGAGGGTGTGGGCACCGTGATGATGGCTTTCGCAATTTTGGTGCAGCGGCGGCGGCGCCTGTTCCGGCGCATGCGGCGAATGAGGGTATTGTACTCGAAAGGGAGTTTGCGATGGAAAGCGCGACCTCCGATGTGGCTCTTCCTACGATAGAAACCCCGGGGACGGAGGAGACTTGTGAGGTTCCTGCAGAGGATGAAGAGGAGGATGTTGTAAGTGAAATGGCAGCCGAAAGTGTTCCTCCTCCACCTGCCCCGGAAGAGCACCAAATGACCGTCCCCGCCGAAGAACCCGCTCCTCAGCAGCTGCAGGAAATTGCAGAAACGGTTCCCAACAGCGTAGAGACTCCATCGGAGGAAGCATCCGGAGTAGAGAGGCCGAAGCTGTCTTACGCGGCGATGGTGAGCAGTTGATCCCTTTCCTTTCTTGTAAACCTTGTACGTGTTTTTCATTCATTACTGGTAAGCAATGGACGTTTTTCACTTAAAATGAGTGTGCTGGTGGTTGCATTGGCACCTTGATAAAGCGTACGTATTGGGAGCTTTGGACTGACAGAGGAAGTTCAGGTTCTTCTCTCTCGTCGTGTAATGTTTATTATGAACCATGTTATTAATGAATCTTGTACGATTCCCCGCTATCTTCCTCACGTACTGGTTATGGCCTTGGGAAGATGATTTGCGTCTTTTTCTCGGCGTGGTGAGGGGATTGGTCGGGACGGATGCGTTGATACCGGGTAGCTTTTCTTCTTCTTCTCAGCGATCGCTGCAAACTCTTGAGATTTGAGGTTCGTGATTCCACTTGGTCGCGTCGCACGAGCCGATTGAGGATGGGAGGATCTTTGTCTGAAGTTGTTGGTCCAGCGCGAGCTCTATTGCTAGTCAAGCCGGTGGCCCTGGCGGCGTTTTGGCGGCGCGGATTGTCCAATCGTCGTATGGCTATATTTTGTAAAACCTCTGGGAAACCCGCCCTGTGTTGTTTTCTTGAGTCGTCTGGGAATTGCGGTGATGATGGATGCCCCCCTCGTTTGCTTGTGTTGAAACGTGTAGTCGATGGTGTTTCAAAGTGGGTTCCATTCACGGTTGTAAATAGGCATATAATCATCTGGCACGCTGGTAGGGTTATGTACAGTAAATCAGCTCGACAAGGCCTTCACTTCACATTTAACGAGGCAACTGCTGTTCGCCGAAAGATAACGAGAGCGCTTCGCAACTTGCAGGAACTGGTTGGTCGTGGATTTCGAGGGGAGTTTGGTTGTTGTTCCTTGTACGGGGGCAAGGCATGTAGAGTTACGTCGCTGGTTGTCTTGCGCCAGATTCGGGAAGACGATGATATTTCTTCTGGGTGGTGTCTCGAAAACTTCGTTTGCCTTTTGCCGTGTCACTATTTGTTTTTTGCTATTTAGCTGCGGGTTATGGATGACAGGGAATTTCGGAGTGGCGGAAAGGAAGGCACTACGACAGTGTCATGGCGATTGATTCTGGTCTATTCATTAAGCCCGCGCGGGGTGGGCCAGGGGCGGGCGAAGAGGCGACGGCAGCCCGTCTGGCGTGGTATGAATGCGCGCGGTTAAGCGTGACCAGCGCGCCTCACATGGATTCATTCTGTGAGAAGAGTGCTATTCTATTATGTGTTCTGGCTGGCTGATCCGCCTGGTATGCGTGCATTCTGTGGCAAGTCCTCGTCTGTATATGCCAATCTCTGAAGTCTGATGTCTGATCATTTTAGCCCTCTCCCCGAGGCGCCCGAATACTGCCCCACGTCATGAACAATTTTTCGAAGCGGATGTTTGGGTACGGCCTGGCCAGAGTGCCACCTATTAACCGTCCGAGAAGACTGATCTTGTTTTATGCCTGTGTTTCAAATTTCCGAAAGATTGATTGAGGTTTGATGCGGCTGTGCGCTTGCTGTGATGGACAGATGGGGGCAACAAGGGGTGATCGATATTTTCTCTAGGTGTGTGTCGGATTCTTGGGTCCGCGCTGTGCGTGTGCAACTTCGTCCTTAGGAAGGAGTCCGGTTCTTCTGCCCCAGCATCGCTCCCTCCCTCTGCCCCTCGGGTCTCCCTTTGTCTTCGATCTTGTTTGCGTGTTTTTTGGTCACGTTGGCGGAGGCGAAGCCTCGGTAGAATGTGGCGTTTGATCTTTTGCTTGGTTGGCAGCAGGCTGTCAGAAAATGGGGGATTGATTGTTCGATGATGCCTAATCTATGTGACCTCAGACGGTCATCTTGAGTTTTCTTGAACGAAGAAATCCGGCGCTCCACAGCAAATGACTGATTGTCGACCGGAAATTTCAGTAGTAAATTTGTGAAGGCTGGCAACATGCTTGTTTGTTTAGTCGGCCTGGGCCACGTCTTTACATTGAGAGGAGCGCCGGTCAATCATTTGTTTTGGAAGATTATATTAGAAACGAGAGACTCCGGGCTACTCCAAATGATGCAGTCAGCGTTAGTGCTTTTATCTCTTCTGACGATGTATGGTGTTTGCTTGTCACTTCTTGGTTCTCGTGATGTCATCAGCTCCGGCAGCGGGATTCCGGCGGAATGGGTGCTGCGGTTGCTGCTGCGCCGGCGGCTCCGCCAGCTGTGCAGACGAAGCCAGCGCCACCTGTAACCGATTCGCAGGTCCATCCGCAACCTGTCACTGCGGGACCTCCGCCTGTTGCGCAGCCGATCGCTTCCCCGATGAGCGACAACATGGACGAAGGACTGAACCCGGACGCAGAAGGTACGAAGAGAGGTAGCGCATATAGTGGTGTGTGTGGGCGTATGGCGGCGAAGAACAGTGTTGGGAGGAGCTTTGGGCCTCAGCGCACCATTCGTCAAATGCCAACGTTCTGAACGAATCCGGAGACAGAATGTTCGCATTTGGCGGGGGGTGCGGCAAGGTCCTTTATCCTTCGTCTCTCTTACACGTGTAGCACTTTGTATCGGTTTTGCGCTCTGTTTTGGTCGATCTCCGCCTGTTCAGGACTGCCAAGTGATATCTGTTTGAGGTGGTCGGTTATCTTTAGGCTTGATAGCATACATGCGGTGTCGGCATAAAATTACAGACTTCTTTTTCCATCAATTTTATTCGACCTTTCCTTGATCTTTCCTCTCTCCCTCACACGTCTAGCAATTGTATTGGTTTTGCTCTTTATTTTGGTCGATCTCCTCCTGTTAAGGTATCCCACTTAAAATCTGTTTGAGTTGGTCGGTTATCTTCGGACTCGATAGCGTAGCATAGCATACATGTGGGGCTCGGCATAATTTTACAGACTTGGTTCCATCAATTTTATTCGCGACTTTCCTGCGTTTATGCAGATACATACTAGTATGTGAGCCAGCTTTCTCATTGAAGGGGTCTCTCTGTCCATGCGCCGTTTTCTGAACATTCGTGTGCGTGAAGCTTCTTCATGGTACGCGTTGTGGTGCGTATCGCAAGCGAATGCGAGGTTTTGAATGGGGTTGTTTGAATGTTGTTTTCGCCAAATGGTTCTGACGATTTGTTTTGTGTTGTATGATGCGCACTTTGAAACAGTTGATGGGAGGTCCGTTTTCGTGAAAAATCTTCCTATTAGTATCACGACTCAGCAGTTGGAGGAGGAGCTATCACGTTTTGGACCAGTGAAGGCGGGAGGTGTCAACATCAAAGGCCCAAAGGTCCGTCTCGCCTTGTGTTTGCGACACCTGCTCGTTCGTTTGCCGATCCTTATATGAGTATGGGGTCGTCTAAAGCGATTTAGGTTTGTATGTAGTTTAGACAAGCCTGCTTTCACACTTGCGTTTGCTCTCCATTGAGTTCTCTTGGATACAGTGGCCATCTTTGATCTCCCTCACCTTTCCTCCCGTGGGCTTCTCGGTTTTGCGTAGCGTTCCGTTCTTGCGAGAAAAAAAAATTCTATAGGTGGATGCGTGCATCGAAGAGAGAACGCGCGATCTGTAGCCTAGAGTGGTCCTTTACCGGTTAGGCTGTGGTGGAAGTGTGGGACAACTCCTTTCACTGCGGAGGACGATCGGACGGGGCGGAGGTGTATGGAGTGATTGTTGTGGGTTGGAAAAGTATGTGACGAGCCCTGTAGGTGTGATGACCCCTTCAGGGAGGGATGCAGCAGAGACTACAGGCTTGGAATTCGATGAAGGCAGGCTCTTACGTGAACGTGGTTGAGGTCTAATCCCTTACATCTGACTTGGCACTGCGTTTTGGCAGGATCGATAAACGTGTGACACATACTCATCACGTATTCATTCAAGGGGTGGTAATTGCGCCAGCCCGAAGGAAGTGCACATTTCAATGCCTGCTTGCACCCCACCCTACAACACGCGCTCGCACATGAGTCATGCTACCGTAGCCGTCTATCTTCTTACTGGCGAAATGTTGTAATTGGATTTTGTTTTCGGAGCAGATTCTAAATGGCTAAAGGAAATGTGTTACGGCATGGCTGATACTTCCTTTCCCATAAACATCGTTTGTCTTCATGCGGCAATGTGCAATCTCGTTGTTATTTGGGACCTGATCGTGTATGTTCTCGCGTTTTGCTTCCCTACACATGCTGATTGCCGTAGCACATTGTGGGACGACTAAGTGTTCCCAGGTTTCCGTTGTTGTTGTTGTTGTTGTTGTTGTTGTTGTTGTTGTTGTTGTTGTGATTCATGGGTTGTAAGTAATATCTTTCGTCGATCCCTGTTGTTGTCGTGCTCTGTTTTCGCACCTCTCCAACTGTTTTGTACTCCCGTAAATTGTCCGCAAAGTGTCTGACATGTTTCCGTCCTTGGGTTTCCGGGCTTGCCTCCTCGCAGAACTCGGCTACTGGTATGCAACAGGGCAGTAATTGTTACGCCTTCGTGGAGTTCGAGGATCAAGCAGCGGCTCATGCAGCGATCGAGGTGAGAATCTGATGCAGGTAGTGGCGATGATGTCAGTTCATCCGTTGTGGTTTAAGTCCTGTAGCGAGTCAAACCCTCGTTGTCTCTGTAAGGAGATCTGTATGGGTTCTCTTTCGTCGGAGTGGTTTGTCTCTTTGTCCAATCGGGACCCGTAGGCGCTGTCTTGTTTTTGAATTTTCAAGTACGCGTGGCTACGGCTGAGTTTCAGAAGCTCAATGTAACAAGCTTAAGCAATTTGCAGCACTGCAAGAAAATGGAATGAGGACATGTCGACCGTGCACGCTCACAAGTAGGCTTTCCCTGTCGATCTTCCGAACCGTTGTTGATGTTATGTTCACTTTTCAGGGATATCAATCACTCTTATGCTAGCAGATATCAGACGAGCATTTCTGTTGGTGACATAGAGAGGTCATAACACCGTGAGGGAATACATCGACAAATGGGAATGCATCAACAGAATGACCTGCAAACTTCCACACAGACCAGTAGCGTCTTCCTACCAAGTAGTTTGGACTACAATGCAGTTCTCAACAGCCGGAAACTGAAGTTAGGTTAGCATACTCGTTCAGCAGAAACAGCAACAGTCCAATCATATGCCAACTTGGTCGGAGGTGTAGCGTCAACGGGCAGGCAGGCATGGAATGAGAGAGTAGGCCCGATAAAGGCCCTCGATCCACCACTCACCAAATGTGTAAAAGGAGGCAGGCCAGATAAAGGCCCTCGATCCACCACTCACCAAATATGTAAAAGGAGAAATCTTTGTCTAAAATATGGACAGATACACTACCATGATTTCTCTTTTGTGCTTATGGTAAAATATGGACAGATACACTACCATGATTTCTCTTTTGTGCTTATGGCGAGTGGTTGTGCGAGGCACAAAAAAGTCCATAAAGGGTTGTGCTCTTATTTGAACTTAAGCGTCGTAGAGAGAATCATCAGTTCCATGGAAGATGTTCTCCAGCTCTCCGCCTCTTTAGCAGTGGAAGATGTTCTCCGCCTCTTTAGCAGTCTCCACGGAAAACTAAACGTTGGAGTTGCAATTGTAAGCTGCAGTGGGAACTTGAGAAATCGCCATGGAAAAAGGAGGGCAGTGATCCAATAGCCTATGCTTCGCATTAGTGCAGGACCTTCCAAGTGTATCTATCAGACAGACGGATTTGGATTCTTATTACTATTATTTTCTTTTCTCATTTTTTCGCTTTCTATTCGACTCTTATTTACAATTTGGTTGTAAAAGCCGGTGTTCATGTGTTTGTGCGGAGGAGGTTTCTAGTCGAAATCCCATCGTGTCCCTGCAAATGATTAAGCCTCACGCACTCATGACAAGTGGTCATCATACGAATGTTGTCAGTGTGAACGGGAAGGACACCCGTTTCCAGATGGAACCAACCGGAAGTAGTCGTGAGGATAGTAATACAAACTTGGATTCTAACGTGGTGGTGTTCTCCTGCAAGGTATAATGCGGTTGGTTGATGAAGGCCCAGTCCAGGTTGCAGTCGCCGTCTTTGTGATACTGTCCTGCGATCCTGCGATACTTTGCGTGCGCACAATCGCCACCAAGTCTGTGTAGCTCTCTGTCCCGTCTGATATTGCTGTCTGAAGCTTAATGTGTCATCCAATGGTGCAGTTTTAGCTCTCAGTCATGATACCTGGCATATGCTAAGAACCGTAGAATGCATGCGTGCCTGCACTCCGGAGATACGTGGGGTTTAGCTGATACGTGCTGATGCCTGTGTGTGCACGCCTCTAAATACTGTGCCTCACTCTGTCGCACAACACTCCCTGTGAGGAGATTGCAGTGGTTAGGGTCGACGATTTCAGCCTCGCTGTTGATTGCCAGATCAGGACTGGCGAGTGTTCGTAGCTTGTTGCATGCAACCATGTACAGGCGACGGCGTTCTGCTGACGTTTTTTCCAGGGGTGTCCGCTCCTGGAACGGTGAATAACAGAAATGGTGCAAGTTCTGCTGATACAGCTTTTGGGCTACGGCCAGTTTCTGAGCCTCGGACAGACAGACGTAATTGGTGATCTAAATATGCTACCGGTAGTAGGGAATTCCCTTGACTCTATGTTGTCCTGATACTCGTATTTTTAGCTTGACCATCTGAACCACCAGTACTCGCTTAATATGCTAGAAGGTTGCTCCCTTCGTGTTTTGACACTAGATGTCGTTCCAGACCTAAAAACATAGCTGAGACCAAGCCTGTCTAGTACCTCCAGACGTGAGTTGGTGGCAAGGAGGGTAGAACAATGAATCTCCTGCACCCCCCCTCGCACCCCATAAAAAAGAAAAAAAGAAAAACACAAGAACAACAAAACAGAGAGAGAGGACAGATGAACAGATTTCAAAATAATGCAAAGGAAGTGCGTGAGGCCTTACCTCTTGATCGTTGAAGGTCAGGGATGGAATACAACAGTTGTGAATAATTTAGGTGGAGAGCACGCATTAGAGAAAATATGTTCGTCCTTTCTGCTGCAAACTGTCAGACGACCTTGAAGAATGGCCTCCTGTCCCTTTCGATTCGCATTGGCAAATGGTGCATGGATCTGGATGTGTTTGTCCGTTTTCATCCCGAGGTCCTATCCGGACTTGATTCAAGAGTACATCTTGCGTGTTTCCCTCCAGTCAGCCCATATCAGAGATCTTTGAAAAATGGTCCACTGTTGCTGGGACGGGTAAAGAAAGAAGGCCGGGATAATACAAAAGCCAAGAAGGAAATGTTCTGAAAAAGTTTGGATGGAAATCGCCTCAGATTGATTCCTGAGCAGGCCACTGTTAGAGTATTTCTTTGTGTTATTTCGCTTCTCTTTTCCGTCGTTCATGGATTTAGCTTTTATTTTTTGTAGCTCTGTGGACGGAGAATGGCTTTTGTGTGAGCCCATTTTCAAAATGATCCTGGCTTGGAGCAGCTGCCAAGCTGTTCCGATCCTGCAAATGACATCTGATCATCATATTGGAAGCGGAAATTGTTTGTCTGGGCGCGGCACTGGTGGTTTAATAGGAGGAACCCCGGGGGTATCGAAGTGTTGATGCATGTGTTGGCGCATCACCTCTTGCCCTGCCCCTTGTTGTGGTACCTGCAGGAACTGCTTCAATCTGTTCCGGTCCATTGGAAGGGACAGATGAGCTTTGTCTTGAACTGACTGGCAATTGTTTGTGGTTTGTTGTGAATTTTTCTTGCAGGCCTCTCCGATTCAAATCATGGGGAAACAGGTTGGGATTGAAGAAAAGAAGCCATTAGGCAGAGGTAACGGTCTCTATTTCGGCCTTGTGATGCGTCTGTTCTGTTGGGACGGGTCATGTAATGTAGCCTGTAGACTTCTGTGCATGCCGGAGAAAGATGTCGGTGATGACCTCTTATTAAGCATTGATGAACTTCAGCGGTTATGTGAACCCCATGAACTCTGGTAAGAAAGCATGAGTGAGCAGGCTTCCGACGTGCATGCTGAATCTCAAGCACTGGGGTTGGTCTCAAAGTTAACGTGGATTTAACTCCGTGGTTCTTGGCGCACTGCATTATAACGATGACACAGTAGGTCCCTTGCACATCCAACCGGTCTTTCTCTTAAACTTGCAGGTGCCTCTACGTGCCTACGTACTGTTCTCCAATTCTGGTCTGAGTTTGCAGTAAACTCTAGCCGCTCTGTTCATGCTGAGGGTACATACATGCCAAAGAAATCATAAGATGAAGTCATGAGAAGCATACGAGTCTGACAATAATTTGAAATTGAAATTAAATGTACTCAACTTGACGGCTAATATCGTTTGGCGTGTGGAATTGGATTTTACCGTATTCACTTTCCTACTGTTTGCTGTTGTATACTTCTTTATCCGCATACGGGTACGGTCGTCCTATTGGAGATGCTGTGTGCGGTACTGTTTACGGATGTACAAGTTAGAGAAACAAATTTTAGGTGATACTTCTGGGGTGAAGTGTTTGACTCGGATTTGAGTGGAATGAAGAAAAATCAAGAGAAGGAAACTTGTGTCGTTTGAACATTTTTTGTTGCACACTTTCCATTGCAAATTCAGCTTGTGGGAGTGAGGTCGGGGAATAGGGCTTAAACCACCGGTTCACATGAGCCTAAGTTGATGAAGCTACCACCTTCCAAGGCTAGCGAGCCTGAAGCTGCAACTTTCAGAGTGGCCTCCCACGTTCACTGTTGGCCTAGGCCGGAATTGAAATGCTCTGCTTACAGCGCTTGTTTGGTGGGAAGAATGTTAAAGGCCTTTCCAGGCTACCCGGGGCAACTGTCAGTGTCGATACGGTGATAATGATGGTGCATTCTGTTAGGCAGAAGAGGGTAGCACTAAGGACCCATCAAATGCTGTACCTCTTTGTTGGTCTCTGATTCGTTTGTACGGGCTTCAGGTTGAAGCCACTGATACCCAGTGACCACAACCATCCTGGGTGGAATTGGCCCTATTATTTTGAGTAGGGCCCAATCCTGATTGAACTCTGCCTGAATGAGCGGTGTTCTTCTCTGGCTCGACAACATCCGGATGATGACCGGTATTCTTTGTGGCTTCTGTAGCCTATGGGGTGCCTGTTGTGCTTAAAAGACGTCATCTGGATGATGTCTCTGAACTCCAATGATTATCGGTAAACACATCCACAATTGAGTTGATTGTCATGGTCGTAATTGTTTCGTTCTTTGCTGCTGAAGTGTTGTTCGGACTTTGTCGTACTTGCACTGTGCAATGCAGGTAGAGGCCGTGGAGGACCGGGGCGTGGAGATCGTCCGTACAGACCGATGCCGCGAGGGTATCCTAGTGGTAGGGGTAGATTGCCTATGGATCGTGATGGGAGAGGTGATCGGGAGAACAGAAACGAAGGTAACGTAAGCAGGGGAGGACGAGGTATGCGGAGTAACATGGGGGGCATGGGCATGCAGCCTGGAATGTCAGGGGATTCAAGACGTCTTTCAACAGATGGGCCAGGTGGGCCAAGAATGCCAAGGCGGAACATGCAGCCGCAGATGTCGAGGGGAGGAAGTGGAGTTGGAAGAGCACCTGGAGCATCTGCACAGCCAGTGTGAAATGTCGTGAATGCGTAGGTGGTGTGCTGTACAGCACTCTGCTGGAGTTTTGCTGGTCAGAATCCCGTGTTGGGCGATGTTTGGTGGCATGCAGAGGGTGGGCATGGAGGAGATTGGTCATTGTGAACAGAACGAGTTTGTGTCTGCGAACAGGGAGGAAGGAAAGATGGGTATGGGGTTGAAATGGATGTACTGCGTTGCTGGATAGTGTCTGTAGTTTGATTATGGTGTAGCAGTTTAGTACGTGCCTATGCCTGAATCATGTCTCGGCTGCGGAGGTCGTAAGGGATGCGATTGTCGTCCTGAGGGGCAAGATCGGCATGCCTCAGCTCTGGTGGGGGCAGCGCTGTTCAGGAAGAGGCCTGGATTGCACCTCCACCGAAGCAGTTTTCGATTGCCACTGTTGCTCCGTCCAAGGCTCTGCATGTGCTTGGTGCAGACGTTTCATCTACTTCTGCAGGTTATGAAATGCGCACGCTCTCCTTGTCCTCTGGGGTGCACCTTGTCTGTCTCTTTCCTGGCCTGAGTGTCTTTCTTGATTGCCTTCAGAATGTCATTTGCTGCAGTCGAGGATTGCATGCTGCCATCCTCAGTCGGCTGATGGGGTCTCGATGGCCCTTTGTCCTCTCGACTTCTTTTACTGCCTTGCCCCCAAACACCTTGCCGCTACTCCTGCTGATCTCTTGTCGTCCCCATCATTCTCAACACATCTTCCATGCGGATATACCAGATAGCTTGAGGTTTCTTTGCATTGCTTGGTTTGGTTGTTTAACTCTTTTGTCTCATTTCTTGTGAGAGTTGTGGCGGTCATTGTTTGTGGGGGTCTTACCGATGTCCTTAGTGCCGGCTGAGGTTTGACTGTTTTTTTTTGTAGTCCTAGTCTTGGTGTCATAACCTCTTGTGCCGTTGATTATGTGCTGCTCAGCACGTAGCTTTGTCTTTTGCTAGAATGTACCAAATAAGCTTGGGACGGGTCGATGGTTGATTTCCATTGACGATCACGCACGCAGATTATGTTGGCAGGTGTGAGCATTTCACCTGGGTGAGGGGTGGATAGCCAATATCCCAGTCTGATGATGTGTTGATTGTCAGCAATCATCTACAATTGGGTTGTTAACAAGCAAGTATGTCTCTCAGATCGTCTGGTGTTGGATCTCTATGGTCTGTCATGCTGATGGCAGATGTTCTACTGGGGCTCTCCGTTTTTAAATCTCCGCAAACCACAAGTATCGTGCCTGGTGATATGTTGTCAGGTTGATGTTGTTTTCGGTGTCTCTCGTCCAGTATTGATAGATGTCCACCCCACCCCACTTGATCTCTTCAGATGATCTAATCTATTCTTCTGCATCAGTTGTCATCGCAGCCCATTGTGTCTCGTTGTTATGGTTGGTAGGTTCTCCTTGCATTCTGGTCTGCGTGATGGTCTCTCGTTGTCAAAGTGCGGTCTTGCATTTTTTGATATTCCAACATCTGTAATGCTGGGGACTCTCTCTCTCTCTCTCTTTGTGTCTGTTGCTTATCTTGTGTGCTTTCTTGGTTACATCTTGATTGGTCACATGCTATCTCGGTCGGGTCCTGTCCTCTTTTGCCCCTCCAGTTCGGCATTCGGTTCTATCTCCTCTCTCCTCCCTCTCTCCTCTCTCTGCGCCCCCCTGTATTTGTGTTCTCTCCTCTAGGCAGTGGTAAGTCGTCTGGTTACCTGTATTTGCCAACGGATGGTTATCTCGAATGGGGAGAGGTAGGTCTCAAATGTGCCCATTCTGAGGAAGAGGGAAAGTGGGCAGAGTTTTGTAAAGAAAACATTCTTTAAATGAAGGTTGAATTCTTTTGTGCCGGTGTCATGGAAAACGTCAGGTATTGGTGCAACTTTCAGTTGTGCCAATGAAACTTAAAAGAGTGTGTCCAGCCTGGTCTTGACTTCTGTGTTTTCTGGTAGCCTAACAGTCGCTGGTCTCAGTGATACTTTCTTTGACTGTGGGCTTCAGAACTGTTTGGCAAAAGTCTATTGGTTTGATAATTAAATAAGTGATTTGTTTGGTCTTGGAATCTCAATCTCTTTGTAACATGGCAATCTGGCAAGGTCGAATTTATGGTTGATTGGTATGGACGGAGGACAATGAAGGTGATGGTCATTGGTGCAATTAGGGCCAATAGAGCTCTCTCTTTTTTCCCAGCATCCGGCTCATGTGTCTTTATGGTTGGTATGTGGTGAACTTTCATTTCATTTCTTTCTCCGATCTCCTTTGTTATGTTTGGAGCTTGAATTCAAATCTCGAACTCGTCTTCTTGCACCTGTCGTTGTCAAGCTTCACAGGGTATCAGAGGGAAGTGTGGTCTGTCTGGCGCTTTGGAGGTAGTGCTCCCGGTGGGCATGAGTTGTGGAGGCTGTGAAGTGGGCAACTGTGCCTCTGGGGCAAGGCTAGAGAAGTGGCCTTAACAATTGTCGCGGGAAGCCGTGGATTTCGCTGCTGGTGCAAAATGGTTGGTTGGTCGTAGGTTGTTCGGTCTGTGTTTCTCGTGATCCCTTCGGTGGGATGGATTGTCAGGGTATGTGTAGAACTTGATTGGTAGGTAGGTACCTGATTTCTACCTTCCTGTGCAGGCAATTGCTGTACACAGTTCGACATTGGGATTGAAGTCCATAAGACTGCGGCAAGTGAAACAGTGAGGCCAAATGGAAGTGTGCCAGTTCAGCAAGGCCTGTCTAATTATTATTAAGAGCTTTCTAGAAAAAAATCGAGTTCGACAAATTTATGGCAGCATAGGGTGCTGGTGTCCTCTACTTGATTTGCATGATATTATAGAAGGCATAGTTGTTACACCCGTATGTACTTCGCAGTGGCCTTCAGAACTGGTACAGTGACCGTGTCTTCATATGCACGAACAATGTAGCTTACGCTGAAGGAGGACTGTGTTCAAACTGGCATGTGATCTTGTGAAATGGTCATGTAATCAGGTGGAGGAGATGGACCAAGCAAGTCCTCGAAAGCGCGACCTTTCAGTTGGTGTCCGTCTGTTGGGTGATCTCCAAAATGTGGTTTTGGCTTGGCAGTTGAATCAGAGAGGAACTTGTTGATGCGAATCGGACACTGATCTTTTGAAAAACTCGTCCTCGATGAAGACAACTTTATCCCCTGAAGGTCCTGACCTTCGTTCTTTTCAAACTTTAAAGGAAAGGAATTGTCACAAGTCACTGGATCTGCACATAGAATGTTGAAGTCACTTTATTGCCCTGTGCTGTAGAACATCTGGGAAGGTAATCTACGTATGTGATGAAGTGCAGGCGTAGTTTGGCCTCTTCTCGAGGAGCACCTTGCGGGCTGATATGGACCTTGGCTGCTCTGCATACCGTGCATTGTCTACTGCTTTTTTTGGTTGGATGTTTGTGTTTGCTGCCTTAAAATTTTGTATTTGTGTTTGGCTAGCCATGGTTATTCGAAATGTCTTCCCTTTTTTGGACGGGAGGAGTACACTGGTTGATGCTGGTGGTGGCGGAGGGAGGCAGAAGAGAAAACCATGCGTGACTTGGTTTCTCTGATGATTTGAACAAAAGAATTTTACACTTGCTGACAATGACAGAGTGCCATAGCAACTGTGTTTGTGTGTGTGTCACTGGCTGACAATGACAGAGTGGCATACCAACTGTGTTTGTGTGTGTGTGTGTGTGTGTGTGTGTGTGTAATTTGTGTGTGTGTTGTCATGTTCGCTATACGCTAAAAAGAAAGCATGACCGAGCCGGACTGTTTCGTAGGACTTTCACCGACTCGTCAGGAGGTTGAACCCCGACAGTCTACCCAGGATTCATTTGATTGGTGGATAAGGACTCACCACATCGCCCAGAGTTAGCGACAACCCCGAGAGAGAAAGGTGGTCGACTTTACTCACACAAACCTTGCAATCCGAACAGACTGCTGGTCCAAACCCTTAACAAGAACGGTATTAAGTCTAAGACACTAATCTGACACAGTCATAAAACACACTCTACACCCACTGTGTGTGTGTGTGTGTGTGTGTGTGTGTGCGTGTGTGTGCGTGTGTGAGGGAGAGAGAGAGAGATGCAGATGGCTAGTGTTTATTGGTAAGCTCTTTGACTCTACCGTTGCAGCTGCCACTGCATTCATCCCCCTTCTGTGGCGACATTTGGCTAATGTGATTATGTGTGGGCAGGGAGTCTTGACCGTTGGCAGGGAGCTGCCACTGCATTTCCATGCGGCTGCATTGCCAGTTTCCGTTTTGTTCCATTACTAGTCACGTCCGACATCTGGGGAAGTTCCCGCAGTAGATTTCGAAAAGATGTCGGGTCCAATCCATTAGTCCTGAGATTCGGTGAAGTGGGGCATCCTATAAATTCCAAATCGTTGAGGGGCATCCGATAAAGATTCCCATGATTTTCTATTTTCGGTGTTTCATGTTGCCTCATTCTCGAGGTTCTGGCAGAACACACAGGAGGAGGATCCCAACAAGGTATGGTATAAACTCTTTATCTGTAGAACAACTGTAGCTCGTCAGTAAATAACCTCGGGGGAAGAAAAGACAGCACCAGGCAAGTGTTGCAGGGAAAATCGCAAAATGGCCATGGCACAAAAATGGTCGATCCGCTATCATTATCGGGTGTCTGTAGGAGGAAGAAATATAACTGAGCAAATACAAATTTGTGGTAGATCATCAACAAATAAATCGGCAATCCGGGGGAAAACTGCAAGATGGCCATGGCACAAAAATGCTCGATGCGCTATCATTATGGGGTGTCTGTAGGAGGAAGAAATATAACTGTGCAAATGCAGATTTGTGGTAAATCGTTAACAAATACATCGGCAATCTGGAAAAGCCACATCTTCATGAGCGGGAATGCTACTTGGAGATGGCAGTGCACAACAATTTGTGATATAAGAACCACTGGATTCGACGTCCACAAATCAGGACATGATCGACGCACATGAACACAAGGGAAGTAAAGTTCCATGATATGGTTCATCATTGTCTGAAAAAAAAACAACAACAGATCATTGTCTGAGAAGTAACAGGCACATGTGGAATTTCCAATTCTGTTTGTGGTAATCAAATGTGGTAGCGCAAACCGTCAGTGTACCTATCTCAGCTGTCGGTGCCGAGCCTAAATGTGCACTGAACCGATGCTCTATCGAATTTGGCTGGTGGTGCCTCGAAAGTGCCGAGGCTGCCCGCCCCCGGTGTTAACCGTCGGGCATTTGTTTTTTAAGCCGGGAAGGTACTGGTGTAAGTCGGTGCCCTCCTGTTACAGAACTCTGATAAAAGTGTAGAAGCCTCACTTTGCAGCTGCACCTTTCTCGCGTCATTTTAGCTCCTGCATGCGCAAGAAAGCGTGAAATCCTGCATGCCCTGCTACCGGATGCTATGCAGAGCCCTAGACGAGTAGCAGCTCGGTTTTCTACCGCAGTGAGAGAACCCGGGGAGGGAACGCCTGCTCGTTGCTGAAACCAGGGGCAACAGCGTCTGTGTTGCATACTACCGTTAGTGAATACTTCGCCTAGTATGGGCAGAACCAAAGATCAACCAATATAGGATGAGCATGTATGCAGTGGAATATCTGAGAAATGGACTGAACTCACCTAAACATCACTCAACACACACAATCGTGATGTGGTGGGTGTCACCGAGATAGAATCCAGCAGGTCATCGACATGGTAGCCCAAAATGTCAGGGAACAAAATCAGGATGTCGTGTACACAAGTCACCAATGTTGGAGGTACAGAATCGTATTGAACCGATCTCCGATCTGTGATGCCGCCAGGTATCAATCCCAACTATCTCCAATGTCTCGGATCCGGTAAGTACCACATCCCCCTCCTATCCCTGAAGTCCAATCCCTGATCTCTGTCCAACTCGTATCAATAGTCTCCAGTCTGAAGAAGTAGAAGAGGAAGTCTGAAGAAGAAGAAGATGAAGATGAAGAATTGAGAGGGGCAGAAGTAGTAGAAGAAGTCCCGGGAGGGACAGAGCATCGGCGGAGCTGGCGAGTAGCCCAGGCCATACCTGTAGCTGAAAGGTGGCGCCTTACTGCTGCTGGAGATCGTTGCGCCGCTGGAGTTATGGCGCTCGTGGCGGCAGTCAGGTAAGTGTCCTCCACACTCCCCTCTACTGCAGTGTGCTAAACTTAGTGCAGCAGTTCCCAGCACTGCACTAAACCCAGAGTAGCGCAGCCCGGTCGCTCCACAGTGCCGCTTCCCAAGTTCCCCTGGAATCGGCCGGCGGCCCGTCGGCCTCAATGCTGCCTCAACGCGCCGTGATCTGAATCGTCAAAATTGACGATTCAGATCAGACCGGCGGGCGGCAGCCTCAAGGGCGCTGCCAGGCCCAAACGGTAATGTCGTTTGGGCCTATGCCTGGTCTGCTGCAGGAAAGCCAACCGGTGGCCTCAAGGCGGCCTACAGGGAGAAAAGGTCCAGCCTTTGGCTGGGCCGGCCTAAGTACCCCTTAGCTTAGTGGTCGGGTCCGAAAGGGACCCGTGTGGCATCAGTATATTACAGTCTGTCACCCACTGCTTTTGCTTCTGAGGCCCTCAACGACTGACAGGGGTTAGGGGTTTGCGTAGCCTGTAACGCCCCCTATCTGAAGTTAAGATTTTCTGCAAGCATAACTGGTTGATGTATGAATATAAGGGAGGAAAAATAAAATTAAAACTTTCTGCTTGGAGTTCTGAGAAACTGCTCAAAACCCTCGCCAAGGAGATCACTGCCGATTCTCAGATTTGCAACGGCAAAATTGAGATCTAGGATGTGTGATGGTGCCAAAGTCAACTCTAAATAGCAAGGAGATTTGCTGTCTTAATTTTATGGGCGACCGCGACACACCTATGGAGTTCGAGAGTCGAGCAGAGTAATGATTGCAACGGGGTCTTTGCAGAACCTTCTGAAATTTAGGGGAAACCCTAGGTGTATAGCGAGGGCCTGACCTTCATTTAGGGTTCCTGCATGCATCCCCTGCGATGACTCGGTCAGCAGTGAGCTTCCTGAGACAACTCTCTATGCATTTGATTTCTCTCAAGTATAGATGGGAAGCAATCGAAGAATCAATCTCGAGGCTTATTTAAGCTCTGTGAATTTATATAAATTAAGTAATTCCAGCTTGCAGAAAGGAGACTTGCAAGCAGTGATCCTCCATTGTCGTCGCTGCAGAGTTATCAGTCTGTGTTTTTGCAAGTCATTATACATGCATGCATTGAAGCATTTCACCTTTCTTGCACAGGTAAGTGTGATAATCCGATTTGAGTCTTTGGTCTCAGTTTTCTGATTGGTGCTGTATGGATGATTTGTAGAAATGAGCCTCATCTAGGAAGACCAGTTGATCTCAGAAGATTGATCGGTTTCACCTGCTTGGGTGGCAGATCAGTTGTTCCATGTGACTAACTGATGCGTTTGAGGACCTGATCAGTTTGGCTATGACTTTGTTGTGTGCCCTCCGCAGTAGGTCGTCTTCAGGGCTGTCTGGTTGGCCGTTTAGACCGCTGAATACATCTGCCAAGGTGGCTGTGGCTACCTGTGGCATACTGCGTAGCCACACGGGCCTGCCGGCCCGTCCCGCATTCTCAGCCTAAAAGCCTAGAAATAAGGGCTTACAGGCCCCATGTCGTTTCAGCCTGAAACTGAAAACGAGGGCCCGCAGGCCCTATTTCGTTTTCAGCCTGAAACGGAGGGCCACTTTCGGGCCCTCATAAGATCGACCTACCCTAAGACTCAGGCACAAACCCAGGGTTTCGAGGCTATCTTTAGCCTGTTCCCACGACAGCCTCAAGCAGGAACTGCAGCGGCAGCCCCAAACTCCCTTCGGCATTGGCAAGAGCAGCCTCCTGGACTGCCTCGCCTGCAGTCAGGAGGCAGAACGAGTAGTACATAGGAAGTTCCCATGCACTACACGGGCAGGTAGTTGGACAGTAGGTACGAGTAGTCTTCAGGTTTCAGCTGCAGCACCCAGGAGGTTGTCTTCAGCGCTAAGCGCTAATAGCTGCAGGGGTAGTCTTCAACGCAGGGCGCTAGTAGCTGGTAGTAGTAGCGTTGGAGAGAGATGGCTGGCGGAGGCCAGCGGTACGTACCTGTGGCGTCATAGCTCCAGCTCCATCTTCGAGGTACCTGCATCAAGGCGCCATCTTCACAGGTTAGTATTGGAGAGAGAGAGAGAGAGAGTTCTTCTTCTTCTTCCTCTAAGTCCACCATCTCTTCTTCACCCTCTCACCACCTGACTGCTCAGTATCAGCAGACTACGAGAGAGAGAGAG